AAGTAAAAATTAAAATATTGGTTTTTCATTCACTTTTAGATATGGTTTTTTCTGCAAACCATCGATGACTTCTCCTGATTTTGACATCCCGATTGCGTCAATGCCAAGTTCGATTATGACTTCCCAATTTTGACTTTATCCCGGCTGTGTCTCCTTATTATTGTCTTTTAGTCAATTATCATTTACCCGAATTGGTCTACACGAATTTGGACTCTCGATTTATGTCTACTTCACGAATCTGGACTCTCCCGAATTTGACTCCTCAATTGTGCCTGTACTCGAATTGGACTCTCCCGAATTATGTCAACCCCGAATTTGACTGATGAATGGTGTCTGCACTCGAATATAAACTATCTCGAATTACGTCTACCCCTAATTTGATTCATGAATGGTGTCTAAGCTCAAATTTGGACTCACCCGAATTACGTCTATTTCGAATTTGACTTCAGAATCCTATCTATATTGGAATTTGGACTCTTCCGGCTTGTGTCTGTGCTCAAATTTGACTCCCAATTTTTGTCATCCCTGGAACTTGGACTCTCCGGAATTGTGTTTTAATTTGTTATTGGAACGACACGCTCAACAAATTGATATTTGTTATTCAGACACTAGTAAAAGGATTAATTGCAAAACAAATTTTTTATACATAAAACGTTTGATAAATTAATTGATTATTAATATATTAATTAATAATTTTAATCTCAATTATAAATTGTTGTATATTTATATTTGTAAAACATTAATAGTAATTGTTACGGCCTAATTAAGGCATCCAAGCGATAGTCGAGAGCTCTCGCACACATTAAAATATGTGTTTGGACCTATATAAATGTTATTAAAAGTCTGTTTAAAAATGCCTCGATAAAGAATAAAACTTATGTAATTTGTAAAAACATAATGTTTGCAAAAATAAAACAGTTTCTGCAGATCTAATCTTTTTCTGTTTTTTTGTAAGCGCATTCCTTTTAAGAAAGGATAATTTTAGAGAAACAGTTAAAGTGGCAAAGGCACACTTGCCACTCCGAGGGTTTTATTTATTTATTTTTTCACTCGCTCCTCTGGGCAGTAAGAGGGCCTCTTTATTTAGCAAGCCTGTTGCGGGTTAAGCCAGGCCACGTCAGGCGTTGATCAACGACGACCCATAAATACTCGAGGTTCGGGGGTGTTGCTAATACTGTTATTGTAACTATCAGATGTGCCCGGCGTTGCTCGGAAAAAAGTAACGATAGCAAAGATTAAGGTTAGTAGATTATAGCCGATCTTACCCGTTTTCACCAAGTGCAACAATTAGGTTTCGATACTAAGTATAAAATTTTTAGCTATCTGCTTACCACACTGAGATAACGATAATTAAGGTTGGCAGCAACCACTAACCGCTAAGTGATTAATAACAAACGTTTTCGTAGCCTCTTCTGGGTTCTTTTTCAGGTATACTAAATTCGAAAAATATGCTGGATCTTCCAAAATCTTATAAATATAAAATCGAACATTAAGACGAAGAGTTCGAATAAAGCCAACTCCCCGTGTAAACTTTATATACGATGAAACGCTAAATATCGTTGAGAAGGGTCTAAAAATATGTTCGATTTCTTGCATAAATGCAGAAAAGACATTTAAAATAGAATAGTAGAAGCCTTATTCTTCACGGTGGCGAAAAAACAAGAATAATAAAGACAAAGGAAATCGGAAATTACAACTTACATTCGGCAGAACGTCGGAAAAAGCTGTTAGAAGTAGCAAATTTCCGGAACCCGTAGCTCTGGAAGAACACTCGATCCGGAAAAGAAGAAACGCCGTTGGAGACAGCTCGACGAAACGAATCAGAAAATGTATTTATATGTAGAAGAATAGAGAAAACTCTGGAAGAAAAACTTTGCGAAACGAACAACTGAGGTCTTGGATGACTGCTCAATCGACACTTTTGTCCTTCTGTTGTTCTTGCACTGCAAAAAACTGTTTGTGTCGATTGGAACCGAAGAACAATTTTCAGTTGCACATCAAAAGTCGAAAAGTGCAAACATTATTTCCGGACTCTCCAACATTCTTTATTTTTTCCATCATTTATAATTTACGTTTTCGGGTTGGTTCAAAAGATACGATGCAGCCATTCCTCCCTATTCAGTGTTGTTATTTTCCTAAACATATCAAAAGCAAATGGCCGAAATAAAAAATCTAACGGCAAAATTTCAGAAATTTTTAAAATTCTCAGCAGATATTAAGCTTTAAATTTCGTAAAAAATATTTTGCCCCCACAGACCATTATTGATTTTTACATCACGCTATGGGAGAAACCCCTGAATTGCTGGCACTGCATCTGCTAATGTGTGCGTATCGTCCACTTTTACATTGGAATCAATGGAAACGTTTGGCTTTGTTCGGTGCCGTCGTTAGAGTCGGGCAACGGGCCAAGTGTCTAAAGGTGGCCCGCCCTTCAGGAGTCTAGTTTTTTTTTGTTTTTAAAGTTTTCGCGGTAATGTGACGTTGTGCTCACAGGAAATGCATTAAACCACAGTAGCTTCCTTGTAACACGTTTAAGTATTTATAACGCAGAATATGGTAAAAAAAATTCTTCTTGTATTCGGATAGAGAAAACGAGAACGTTTATTTGATTACCAAGAAACGGATACGCGTACAAATAATCCCGAAACAGTTCCATAGGAACTATTGTTTTTAGCAATAATATACCAAGGAATAATCTGTACTTTTTGAAGAGCAAAGGGCCATTTTTGGTTGCCTTCGCAACATTTTTATATTAAAGACGAAGACGACCTTATGAATCATTTATGCATTTAGATTTAGCATCAAATAACGAATATAATCGGGATTATATAAGATTCTGAAGGGTATATTTGTGAACGACTGACAAAAGTACTGAATTTTGTAAAAAGCTTAATTAAAGGACGATGGTCCAACTGGCATTAATGTTGAAAGAATTCTTGGATAAAAATAGTGATTGGGTAAACGTTAAAATTTATTTTTTGGTGCATGCGAAGTTTTAGGGAGCAGCATACCCGTAAATTTTCTAGAAGCGGCGATACAATGACTTGATGCATATGCTGCTGCTGACCATCTTATAAGTAGTCTTCGAGTTAAACGCTAATAGAAGAAAGTATATGTCCTAAAGTCTGTATAGTGCATTATTATTTTCTGCGCGTCATTTTGATGGCACATCTCGTTAATTAATGAAAGGTAAAAAAAATTTTTTTTAGTTGTCGGGGTCGTTGTTGGGAATAATCGTTGTTTGAGGCTTTCGCATACATTTTGCACAAAAAAAAAAACGTTCTGAATAAATGACCGTCATTTAGAGATGGCCGTTTTTGGAGGTTTGAACCGTATTAATTTTTAAAATAAATTATATGCAGCTATGAAATGTGTTTTAATTGCGCTAATCCTTACGACGCACAGTGGTTTCGAATAAGTAATCTGGCTGGACAAAATTGTTTTTAGTTTTATTTTATTTTATTCTTTTTGTGTTAAAAGTATAGAAAGATGTCTACTATTGATACAGTGAATTATTAATTTTTAGTACGAATAATAATTTTCAAAAATTTTGGTTTTATTAACGCAAAAATAATAAAATAAAGTGATGAAAAGAACAGTGACTGTGATAAAATAAAATATATATTTGAAATACAGGCTTCGTTAGGAATTATTTCTTTATTCAAATATCATTATCCTCGTCGTCTTCGACTTCACTGTTATTGTCAGCTTCATCTTGGAGTAGCCAGAATTAGTCATTATCAATAAGATGGCTAGTTTGGTTACTAGCTTTTCACCTGGTTAATAAACTTGACTTTTTAAAGGTAAAAAATACATTTTTTTTAGGAAGCTATTCAAGGAGTGTGGAGCACATACCGTAAAATGAGGTGATTTAGGCCCATGTAGGTGATTGTGACCAAAATATTAAACTATAATAATAAATTCCTACAATTTCTCAAATATAAAATAATTGTAATGTAGTTAAATTTTTTGAAATGAATATCAATTTGGCTTATAGAAAAAAAATACACCAAAAAATTAATGAATACATTTATTTTTATAATTAGTTAATGATTAGCTACTTAATGATGATAAAAATTAACCTCTGAAAACGATCTACTAAACAGAAATGGTGAATGCATTTGAGTTTATATTTTGCTCAAGTAATTATTAATGTCTCTAGTTTCAATTTAAAAAATTTAAAAAAGAAGTATAATTAGTTTTTCATCAATTGCTATTATATTTCGAAAGCTACTTTGTAAGATGAATGTGGCAAACGATGGCCACATTTTACCTTACAGAGTAACTTCCTTCTAATTCTGTTTGAATCCTTTTCCGTTCTCTTATCATTTCGTTAATATTTAAGGCGCTGCTTAATGTAAATAAGCTAAATAATATTTCTTTGTTTTCATTTATTCGTCGTTTTAAGGAACCTTTTCCTTTTTTAATATTCCGACTTTGAAGAGAGGAATTCTTTTTAAAGTCGAAATTTAGTAAATTACTTTCTCTGGCATGAAAATGTATTTTGAAGTTTAGTAATTTCACTCGTCCACGAAGACTTGATTATTTTAGGATTTATATTATTTAATATTTTATACTTAATATCAAGAAAAAGGAAATCACACATACTAGAGACCAACACTCATATTATGAAAGTTTATTGTAACACTTTTCTGTATGCTAACATTTCAGCATTTCGGACTGTAACTTCTCATCAGCAGCATATAGGTTTCAGAAAACTCTAAAAGATATTAAAACCGGTCTTTACTATTAAAATATATTTTAAAATAATAGCGATTACAAAGAATTACTGTTTACCTAAATATTTTAATCAAGTTAGTATTGTGAGGTAGCAGAAATTCCTATATTTCAATAGTCTTTAATATTAATATTGTTCGAGTTACGTAACAATTGTTGTTCGTAGCTACTTGAGAAAGTCTCCCGTTACATTTTCTCGAAGGCAACATGATGCTTTCTCGTGATCTTTTAACTTCTGGACGGCCGATATCGTCCGTGAATCTACCAGAGAGGGCCAGAAAAAGTCAGTCGTTGTCCGTCCTTCCGACAAAGGAAACCCCGCACCGAATACTCCCGGAATATCGTCGACCAGTGCCATTTGGAAACCTTGTGCCATCATTGTGCTAGTGGATATTATATTAGAACTAATCACCATCGAAACTATTATCAAACAACGAGAGCTCCATCGGGAGATCATCTTTTATCACCAGGTATTTATGCAACTCGCGCTCGTTATGTGAACTCTCTCCGCGACAAAACTTAGAACCCCTGTATCCTTTCCAATTTATTTTTGATTAAATCCTTGTTAATTGTTAAGTGTAGTTCGAGTCTCTTCCACATGCTGTCCCTCGATCGGCTGACATTACGAATCCGTCTGTCCACTTACGGGACTGCTCTCGCGACGGTGTGACGTAGTAATTACCGTCTCGGCTTTCGTGTTCCGGTAAACACGGTGGTGTCAATCCTGACAGGGCACTAAGGAGGTGCCGACCCTAAGGTCACAGTATATTATAAGGAGGAAAGTGGTACATTGTTGTATGTGTTGTAGGATGTAATATTTAGCCGGTTTTAATATCTTTTAGAGTGCTTTGTAACCTACTGTGATGAGGAGCTACGGTCCGAAATGTTAAATTGTTAGTACAGTTTATAAAAAAAGTATTACCATAAACTTCTGTGATATGAGTATTAGCCTGTAATGCACATGAGTCGTTTCCCTTAATGTAACAAGTCGTAATATAAGTAAGTCTTCGTGAATGAAGTAAACTACTAAATTTATATGAAGAACAAAAAACAAATAATATAATGTATTTTGAAATTTTTGCTCTTCATAAGTCGTGCAAATCGTATTTAAGTTAATGTTTAATACATATATGAAATGTATGAACGTGTATAGCATACATGCAATAACTGAATTTAACATTAAATTTTATTTCCTTACTTCCGCATATCTGTAAAATTATGTTTTTGTTTGTTAATGCATCATCACAACTAAGGAAATATATAATAAATTATCATTATAAGGATGCAAAGTAACAATAATTTGAAAAATGAAATGTTTTAAATTAAAAGCTTATTTTTAAACGTGAACATAAGTAATAAAAATATTTAATTTTGATTATTTAAGTATTATTTCTTTAGAACTAAAGTATCATGAATGCGTATTATTATTTCAAATGTAAAAAAAAAACCAGATTAGTTTCGTAAAACAAACCTTATTATGCAAGAAAAAGAATTGAATACACAAAATTTAAGAAAACGTTGGCAAAAAGCAAATTTGTCGAGAACGTAAAACTGAATATTGATTCCCATTTACCTGAATATCAAAACACATGAAATATGCATCAGATTTCTTTAATAATTATACGAAAAAAAATCAGAAAATTGTCAAAAAAATAAAATAAAATAAAATAAACTTTCCAGAGAAATTAAACGCTTAGAATTGAAATTCAATTTAAATTTACTATTCAACATTAATGGGAAGACAAGCTATTTAAATCAGAGTACAATTAGTGATGTTCTTATGCAAGTGTATAGTTAAGTCTATTCTTATACCATTAAAATACATCAGTTTTCTTTTTAGAAGATTAACTTCACTATAGGCCCAAAATGCAACAAAATGCAAATTTTAAAAATAATTTAAGTAATTATTCGTAAAGATGCAAAATAATTCTTAAATTTAAAAATATAAATGAAATTCTTTTAAATTTCTTTTTTCCTCGCGGAGTTATAACATATCATTCATTTTTACTATTGTTTTGATAATTGTTAATGAATACAATTTAAAAATTTTATATATAAAAATTTGCATTTTAAACCTTTTAATTCTAAATCTGTATGTGAAAAAACATAATTTTATGCTTCGTTTAATTATAATTTACACACAATTATAATTATGATGTCAAACACACAAAACATGAATAATTGGAAAATTATAATCCGGTAAATAAATCGAGTAATCATTATTTTAGGGATTAGAAAAAGATATAAAAACTGGTCATGATTACTTAGCGAATCATAAATTATTGTTAATAGACTGAAGTATCGATAAACCTTAAGTAAGTATTTTCAATTTTTATTTATTTCATATACAAAATATTTAACATTTGTGAACATAATAACTAAAAATATATATTGTTTATTATATTCAATTAATTTTTTTCTTTTGCATCCTATTGAAAAAAAAATGAAAAAGTAAAGATATATATTTTAAAGACCAAAATATCTTCTAAACAAAATATGTGAAAAAGTCAAATAGTTTTTATATGGAGTATTTCAGTGCTTTATTCAGTGGATATTTGTAAAATGTGTAGAAAATATAATAGATTAAAAATATATATTAATATATTAAAAATTTAGTCTTAAACATTTTGAAAAAAATGTTAGTATTAGAAATACATAAAACAGAAAGATTCCATACAAAATAGCTGAAAATCATTAGCTACCGTTTATACTAATATTAATTATTGATTTGACTTTTAAGTTTTTATTGAATTTAATCAATGATAATATCATTTCCTCTTGTTGAATTTGTCCACCAGTAACTGAGTGGAAAAAACTACTGAACACCAGTTAGTCGTGGGTTTGCGCCTCACCAACGGTAGGCCAAGTGGAGTTTGCAAGATTTTCTTCACGTGCCTAACACCAGAATAGAGGATACTTTCTTATAGAAAGACATCCCCTCGGCAGATCGTCTAAGTATTGCGTCACATTATACCATCTTATTGGATTCTAAATTGAATTATCATAATATTGTATTGAAACTAATTGCATTTTTCCATACTTAATTTCAATAATTTTTTACTTTATTTTATTGACAAGCATAAGTATTTTGAGAGAAATTTAATGTATCTTTAAAAAAAGCAAATGCATTTTTCAATATTTTGAATTTTACTTAAAATTAAATATTAAAAACACAAAAATTACAATTATTTTCGACAAGAAACTTATTTAAATATGCAATGCATTTGTACCAGTTACATTGCATTTACTAATTATTTGAAAGAAATTTAATGGAATGTATTGGGAAAGACGTTGTTTTAATATTATTTTGATATTCTTTTAACGATTGAAAATATTTAAATTAAATGAAAAATTTAATTTAATAATGAAACTTCTATTATATTTATAATTTATAACATCATTATAACCTATTTTTATTTCAGAATGTGGAAAATAATCTTTACAATTATTTTGGCTATGATTATGCAAACAAGTACTGCCCGTAGAGGTAAAATTATATATACATAAAGTTTAATCACTATATTAAAAAGATAATATGACGTTAGTACTCATTAATCTTTTTTCATCGTTTAGCCCAAAACAACAAATCTTATAAATTAGTTTGTTATTTCGGTAGTTGGGCCAACTACCGGAGTGAAGAAGGAAAATTTGTAATAGAAGATATTGACCCACATATTTGTACGCATTTGATTTATGGCTTTGCTAAGCTAAATATCGACAACACGATAGCTGCTAACGATCCAAATTTGGATTTGAAGGAAAACGGTGGTCTTGGCGCCTATCAAAGATTTAACGGATTGAAAAGAAGAAATCCAAATTTAACCACAATGTTGGCAGTTGGAGGTCGGAGTGAAGCATCTGTAAAATATTCCAATATGGCTTCTAAACCAGCATCTAGAAAAAAATTTGTTGATAGTTGTGTAAACTTCTTATTGGAGAACAATTTTAATGGTTTGTATTTGGATTGGGAGTTTCCTAGTATTGGAGGAGGAAAGCCAGAAGACAAACGAAATTTTATTTATCTTTTGGAGGTCAGCTTCTTATTAAAATTAAACGGATTTTAAACATTTAATACTTAATTCTATTTTAATTTCAGGATTTAAAAAATGCCTTAAAACCTCGTGGTCTTATATTGACAGCTGCTGTATCTGCAGTAAAATATACAATTGACAACGCATACGATATTCCTGCGATGGCTAAGTAAATTCAATTTGCATATTCTTCTCGTCATTGAATTTTATGTCACAAAATACTTTGTTTTTAATTAGACATTTAGATTTTATCAATTTAATGACTTACGATTATCATGGTTTTTGGGAAAATGTTACTGGACATCATGCTCCACTTTATGCTCGTCCAGAAGAGTCCCATAATCAGAGAGAACTGAATGTGGTATATATTAATAACATTGTTCTTCAAATAAATACAAAAAGCTTATATAGACTAAATAGTTACAAAATTTTACAGTTTTGAATAAAGTATATTTCACTACTTGCAGAATTTTTCAGTTAATTATTGGTTACAAAATGGATTTCCTAGTGATAAACTTATACTTGGAATAGGTTTGTATGGCCGATCTTTTACCTTGAAAAGTGCTAATAGCAGTAGTCTAGGTGCACTTGCTACTGGAAAAGGAATGCCAGGTCCATTTCTAAAAGTGGGAGGCATTTTGGGTTATAATGAGGTAGCCTAATATTACAATTTACTTATATTTTGTCCAAATATTGTATTTACATACCGATAATTTACTGTATATTATCCAGATATGCAAATTTGTTAAAGAAGCAAATTGGAAAGTGCAATGGGTCGAATCAATTAGATTACCATATGCTTTTAAAGGTCGACAATGGGTAGGATACGAAGATTGGAGAAGTATTGCAATAAAAGTGAGAATATCAAATAAAATATCGAAAAACTGTTTTCATATTAATACATTTTACTAATTTAATAATTTTTCTTTTAGGTCGATTATCTAAAATCGAAAGAACTAGGTGGCGCAATGGTATGGTCTATCGAAACAGATGACTTTCGAGGAACGTGTCACAAAAGAAAATTTCCTCTTTTAACTGTTATTCAGAGAAAATTAAATCTCACGGGGTCATTTAGAAATAATCCAAATGGACCTAAAGATGATTTTACATGTAATAGTGTAGGTTATTACTCTTATCCTGGTAACTGCCAATTTTTTATTCAGTGCTTTATTGAAGGGGATGATTTCAGAAAGGTAACAAATCGTTGTGCATCGGGTACAGTATTCGATCCAAAACTTGGTAACTGCAATTATCCTTATTTAGTTCCAGGATGTGAGAAATTCGGTTAATATATTTTGTTTCGTGAATTATTAAATGAAAAATTTGATTATTAAACTCGAATTTTTTCNAAAGACTCCAGATTGAACCACTGGCTAAATGTACTAGTGAGCTGGAAATGTACAAAACATTAGATAGAGCTGATATTAACACGATTTATATGATGTATAACTATGTTAAACAACTAATTAAATAATAATTATGACAAAATATTAATATAATTATATAGATAAGTATATGGTAAATACTAATATTGTTAAAAAATTATTATATGAGATGTTAATATGCGTTTCATCAAAATAAAACGCCCTTGTAACAGGCGAAAGCCTTCTACGCCAATAAAGATTACTTACTTACTTACTTACTTACTTAAAAGTTGGGTTGAAGCAATTTTTGCAAGTTCGATTATAATTTTGTTAAATATACCGTTATCACTTAACATTTTTTTTCTTAGAAATCCTACTCTTTCGTTTACTTACTGTTAAATAAAAAATATAGTTAAACCTAAGAAGTAATTAATAAAATATTCGATTAAACAGAAAGATTGCAATTGTTGCAACCCTTCCTAGCACCAAGATAAATTAAAACAGAAAAAAGGTAGGTTGAAACAAAATTTTATAAAAGTTTGGGACGATGTTTTTAAAGACACACGAGTATGAGCATTAGGCTAATTACTTTTTATTTAATAGATACATTACAATTTTTTTTTACTTAATTAATATTGAAGACATATTTAAGACACTTCTTTGGTATGAAATTAAAGTACAGGTAACCCCCGTATAACACGGCACTTCTATAGGCCACAAACATACTAACATTCATACATATAGTAAAAATATTTTTTTTTGTTTTTTTTTGCATTTCTCGATTTTTCAAGGTCTCCTGAATCCAAAGATGTAAAAATTTTGGGGGTTATTTTTTGACATATCCTCATACTTCCCCCTCTATTATATACAATAGTCGAGAAAGTAAAATCAACACCTAAAAATAAGCAAGGGTACATTAATGATTCATTATCTAACAATAGTAATGTGAATTTATCGATGTTTAATTATAAAAAAATACTTATTAATGCCTATGATTTTTATAGAAGACACAATAATTAAATAACGCAAAAAATAATAATTAAAAATTCAAAAGTATTAATTATAAATCTGTTGTAAACAAGTATAGGAAAATAGAACATTTAATGATAGCAGGAAAAATTTACATAAATTTAATACAGATCGTTTTGAATGTCTAGAACAATGGTTTTCAACTAGACTTGAAACATTGTGACATTGAGAACTTCTCACGAGTCAATCGATGTGCTACGACATATTGGTGTGCTGCAAAACCGTTCTAATTGTATTGCGAGATGAATGGAAAAAAAATGTTAAAATTTGTAAAAAGAAGTTTCAAAATACAGTAAAACCTGTCTATGGCGACCACCCACGGTTCCTTCAAAAAGTGGTCTTTTAGGCAGGTGGTCGTCCAATACAGGTGGTGCTGTAATACCGTATTTCCGTACGTATTTTGCGCACTTTTTAGCCATTTCTACTAAGCAAAACTTGAGGTGAGCAAAAATAAGCGAATTTTTTCAACGATACGGCTATATTGGCATCGTATTTTATTCTTATCGGATAACCCGATTTACAGGAATCGTCATGATATTATAAGACAAATTTAATACCAATAATTTAAAAATTACTACAATAGTCGCATTTTCTCGATTATAATGCACACTTTTTTTTTTTACTTAATTAATTCGACTGGTTGTTTTCGTTCGCTCCTCAGTTACGTGTATTACGTCATCAATATACAAGCGCGTCCTATCTCTCCATNTTTCAATAAGTAAGCTACAGAAATATCACACTCACATCACACGACCGTTTTTAACAGAAAAGATATAACATAAAAAAATATAATAAAAATTTACTTTAGGTTGATTTGGAGACACTAATTTTACAAATACACATCCACTCAAAAAATGTGTTGGACGTGTACTGATGGATTAGTATTTAATCACATCCTAGTAAAATGCGTCGCTTTCAATTCAATAACCATTATAGTTTTTGAAGTGTTGTCATTGTTTTAACTCATCTTGGTCTCCCCTATTTTAATTTAAGCTTCAAGATACGTCACTTTTTTCGGTTTTTTATATTTTGTCACTGGAGTCTTCGTTTAGATAACATTAATTTGTATAGAGAAAAGAAAAATTAATTAAATCCTCTCGTAATGATATTTGCAAAGTGTGCTGATGTAAAACATCTATTATCCGTATGAATACATGTGCTAAAATAATACGAAAACTATGGGATACTAGCCACCACTGTAGTTATCAAGAACACGAATTGCAGTAGAACAAGTTTAAGATAAAAACGTTAAAAATCATTTAATTGTCTTATCCATTATTTTATTATTTTTATTAATAAATTAGAGAATGTTAGCTTCACGAATATGAAAAAATGGTTACAAATGCCGAACTGGGAATATGTAAAAGAAGTGAATAAATAATGCGTAAATATGAAACTTCAACAGTGATTTCATAAAAAAAATCAGATAGAAGCAAGTTTTACATATGGTGAATTTGAATCTGGAGTACATTTGTCTTGAAATACCAGAAGATAAGACGATCGCTACAGAAGTAGTTCCGTCGGAAGACAGTATCTCTTATTTTTGAAGCTTGACATACGAAATTCAAAAACCGAATGTTAAGGCTAGATTAATATTCCAAATAAAATCTTTTCTGATTAAAATATATATTTTTTATCTCTAGCAGAAATTTAAAATAAAGATGAAATTTACAAAATAATAATAATAATAAAAAATAAGAAATGACAATGACAAAAGCGATAATAATTCGATTTTTATGCAGTAAAACCAAAACACAATAAAAAATTTTGAGATCGAGTGCCAAAGGCGTTGCATAGCTTAATTAAACATACTAAATACTTACCCCTTAAATATTCTGTGCTGAAATGAAGGTGCATTTCATATGATAATTACAACAAATAATTATAAATACAATTAAATGCGTTTGTGTAGAATGATTGTACTTGTTTGTAATTATAATTTGTCCATGTTTTCACTTTATAAATCAACATATATAATACTATAAGAGACTATAAGAAATATATATCAATTAATATTATTCTGTTATCTGAGAATATAACAGTTATTAATCAATAATTTTTAATTAAATATTTTGTATATTTTGTGAATATAGTATATTTTTCATGTAAATAAGAAAGTATTCAAATCAGTAACTCACTTTACGTTCTACGTCATTGCTACATATTCTGCAACAAAATTTAGATTCATAACCGACCATGAACTAAGATTTATTTTACAAAAATGTTAGCCCTTCCTGGTATAATCATAAGCTAGGCAGGAGAAACTCATTTACAGGCAAAATTAAATGCCAAATGAAATTATGAAATGATGTTACTAACTCAGATAAAGCGTGCGATAAAAGCGTAACAGATACCTCTCAATCTGCAAAGAACGAATTGTAATCAAGGAATTGTAATTCTGATATATCAGTAAGATTAAGTTATCAAATATTATTATGTTTATTTTGAAATACTCAAAAAGGAATATTCAAAGAGTAAACGTCGAGTGAAAGAAAGAGTAAATACGATATTATCAAGGACTTTACCGATGCGTTTGCTACATAGAAATTTGCATTTTAAATAAAGTTGATTTTAAGAACCGTGTCCCGTTGTCATCATTACTTTTTATGTTCACTTCAACGGACTTTCCAAAGCGAGCAGTGCAACAAAGTAGACGTCCACGACAAAATTGTGAGGAATAAATGAATACTGTATATCCAAATAAATTGAGCAAGAACACGTGCTATTGGTACGATGTTGCGTTGCCATACCTCATATAATATTTTGAAATTAAAAAATAGTTTGATTTTTTCATAGCTGTCCGATTTTAGAGATAAAAATTTTTATTTCCGAGATAAAAAAAAAAGAAATATAAATCATACTACAGAAAGTTCATAGTGTAATCATAACAGCCAGCATGTATTTTCCTACAATATAATCTAAAGTATCGATATTTATTGCCATTCAAGTATATTGAAAGAATGTCATTTTATCCACTTGGGGGGATATAAATGATAAAATTCACCATTAATCAATCCTCCCCTATAGTTTGCACGAATCATTTATCTGTTTCACCTTTTTTTTTTTTATATATTTTCATTTTCACTAAACTATTTTCCTTTGATAAAATGGAACGTGCCATCTCGATGCCATTGTTCAACTTTTCACTGACTGAAAGACTTTTCACTTCTAATAAAATCACTAAAAACTCAGTAAGAAAACATATTGTAATTTGCTACCTCCGGTATTTCCGCAAATGTCGCGATTAGGAATGTCACGAAAGCATCGATACCTGCTAGTATCGGAATCGGGTATCGAAACTGGAAATCTTGTCGGCTGTCGCAATTCAGTCAGTCGTGCCGCCTTCCAGTTGTTTTTACTGTTAAGAAAGTACAACTATCCCTCTTTTCGGGTGGTGAATACGTTCCAAAGAACTCTGCGTAAAACAAAAATCGCGTAAAAATGTATATTACATGTATCCTGTGGAAAAATGATTGATAGGATCCACAACTTCAATGGAACAAAAAAATAAGCAATTTACAAAAGAAACGCAAGCTATGTTCATTCTAACATCATCTATGATTAACATTATTTGTACATAAATATAGTAAACATAAGGTAGAAATGTACATAAAGTACTGTATTATGCTTAGAAGAGATAAATTAACACTTCATTTCAACAAAAAAGTAACTTTTTAACAACACAATTTTAACGAAAAGTTAAATTTAAAAATTTTCAAATAAACTGATTTTTTCCAGGTGTAAAAAAATTGATTGCGTAAAAAGAAGATTAATTTTTTTGTCGACCGCGTTATTTCAAATTATGAGAAATTTCTCAATTTAAAAAAATATTTAAGTTAAAAAAACACTATCACACTAACACAAAGTTAAAATTGTGTGTGGCGCCATCTATTATGAAATTTTATTTCAATTAAAGATAATTTTTATATTATTAATTATTATAAAAAGACAAAAGTTTTAATTCTAAAGGCAGAAATGAATTTCCAAAAAATTTAAATGCTAATAACAAGTAAAATATTCATTAAATCCACCCCACTCGAAATAAGACACATGAATACCCTCTATCTCTCTACCTCTCGATCTTTAATAATCACCAAAATTTAATAGCTCTTATTATGTTGAAAATCAAATAGATTTTCAACATAATAAGAGATGTTAATAATATAATAAAGAAAATTCAGTTCACATAAAATATTTATTTACATTTTTAATCTAATTTTGAAAATTTAACAATCAATGACGTTCTTTTTCCATGTACAAGAACCAGCCATTTTATCGAAGGCTGTTCCATCAGGGCAACTGTAAATAACAATATCAAATCCTTTATCTGCTGGAACGCATGCATAAAATTTAGTGCAATCTTCAGGATGAGGGAAATGTCCAGCCGCTTTACATTCCATAGGTTGAGGTGTTGGTAAATTGGGATCGCGAGTTGTTGTAGGGGGAGGAGGAGTTGTTGGTGGTCGTTTAATTTCTCCATTCAGTAATTCATGAATTTTTGTTAATAATGGGAATTTCTGGCCGTGACATCTACCTAAGAAATCATCTGTTTCTATTGACCAAACCATTCCTCCTCCTAAATTTTTCTCTAAAGCATATTTTACCTAAAGAATTAATATTTATTATAAATAAAAATAGAAACATAAAAAATGTAGTTCTGTTTCATCTTCCATAGTATAAAATACGATAAAAAACAATTACAACAGTTAAAAAAACACAAAATTATTTTACTTTTATTGTTATACTTTCGATGTCGTCGTATCCAACCCATTGGTTTCCTTTAAAAGCATAAGGAGATTTCTGATGTGGATCAACCACTACTTTCCAATCTCCACCTTTCAAAAAATCACAGATCTAAAAATAAAGCAGCATTTTAAAATTAAAATTTTCACTTATTGTCAAAGAAGTTTAACTTTTTACGATACTTCGTTATATCCAAGGGTTCCTGGTTCTCTGGTATACGGTCCTGCTGTAGCAGGACCCGTTGATGGTGCTCCTAAACCATTGTTGTCAGAATTTTGTAAAGTAAAAGCTCTACCGTAAAGACCCATTCCGAGAACAATTTGTTTGGGAGAAGCTCCTTGATTTATCCAATAATTTACAGAAAAATTCTGTAAATGTAAAAAATTTTTAAAATTTTGTCTGTATTCCTTATATTATAATAATAGATAATTACTTACCACGTTGAGAAATAATTCATCTCCCTGTTCATCAGGTCGAGCATAAAGAGGCGCATTTAAACCAGTTACAGACTCCCAAGCACCGTGATAATCATAAGCCATCAAGTTTATAATATCTAAATATCTAAATAAAAAATTAATTCCAAATTTAGAGATTGGGATTGAAAAATATTTAATTTATATTATATTACTTACTGTGAGATTTTAGGAATATCATAAGCTGTATCTATTGTACCTTTTCCTGCTGATACTGCAGCAGTAATGAGAAGACCGTGTTCATCGAAAGCTTCTCTCATTTCCTAAGTATATATATATATAGAAAAATAATACGATTTTAGCAAATAATAATAAAATAAATTTTTATGAGAAGAATTCTCTAGAAGAACCTTCAACAATAGAACAAAATTCTGTTTATCTTCAGGAACGCCTCCACGATTTGCAGGATATTCCCAGTCCATATCTAATCCGTCAAAATCATGTTCTAATAAAAATTTTACACAACTATCGATAAATATCTTTCTTTTTCCTGCATCTTTTGCCATGGCGGAATATTTTATAGATCCTTCGTTCCATCCTCCAATAGCTAAAATAGTTGTCAATTCTGGATTCTGCTTTTTCAATTGATTAAATTGTTTAAAAGCACCTGAAAACATAAATTATTAATGTAGTTTTTTTTAAAAATAAATACACTTACGAAGCACAGAATAATAAATACCTCTTCCATAATGTTCCTCTAGATCCAAGTAAGAATCCAAACTTCTAATTGTATTATCGAAGGCTAAACCTGCGAATCCATAAACGAGATGGGTACAGATATAAGGATCTATAAATTCAATTGGAAATTTTCCTTCTCCTGGACGATATGTTGCCCAACTTCCATAGTAACAAACGACTTTATACGGTTTCTTATTTCTGTCTGAATATGGATAACATTTTCGAATGTATTTTAAATTAATTTAGCAGTTTAGAAATAATTTCGAAAATAATTATTAAAATACTTACCTCTAGAAGGAGCTTTTGATAGAGTTAAAACAAATATGCTAATTAATAAAAGGATTGATAACTTTAATGATTTCATTATAACGTTAAGTGAAACAAGTATCTGCAGGCCTATTAATTTGAATTTTAAAGGAAAGTTAGTATCATGAGACCATCCGATCTTGAGAATAGAGGAAACAACTGTTCTAGATAAAGTCCTCTTTTATAGATTACTTTTACAGCATCTGTTTACCTTCATATAGTTATCTAATATTTAAATATATCTTATTTTTATCCTTAGTACAGATACAGATAAATAATACATGTTTTTAAAATTAAAATTATATTAGAGTTACAAAGAAATAAAATTTTATCCTTTAATTAAAATATTACGATCGTAATTGTTAACCACGAAATATGTGATTAGTAATTATAATCGTGTTTTTAGTATTAGAGAATTATATATTTGGTAGAAAATGTTGAAATTCCCGCATAAATAAATGATAGGATCAATAAGGAATTTAATTATATTAATAGACAGAATAATGAGGAAATATATATATTATTATAGTAATTTAAAAGAAATAGGGCAATCTTCATTGAATTAAATGAGTTAAATGACAATAAAACGTAAGAGGAAAAATGCAACTCTTTTTTAAAAGTATTAATTAAAGTAATCCATTTTAAGAACACGAAATTATTCTTTAAAAAAGTATAATATAAATATAAATATATGTATATATATATATATATATATATATGTGTGTGTGTAT